TTCTCAAAGTCCTTCGCTTCTCGTTTCTGGTTCCAGAAGTAGTCTCTCGCTTTGCCAGCGAAAACATAAAAAATTTCTAGCTCGCTCTTTGCACTTAAGAAACATTTTGAGCTTGACATGAGAACAAGTATTGGACTTGTTACACAGTAGTTTGCTTATTACGGTGGGCAATAAGGGAAATACTTTATGATTCTGTTTTGAATCCAACTGAAAAAAATATGAAATATCGTTGCAGCACTTAAGTTAGCGGGATGTGGACCCAGTATTACCTCATGATCAGTTGCCAGTATATCTCAAACAGCTTACAATAATTCGAATGTTATTGTTCAAGCCAAAACCCTGGTAACTACATGTATTCAGTGGTGTGGAGATAAGACTATGACCTATTTCATGCTTCCATGCAACAAGGAAAAGCTAAACACAGGGTATCAAAGGCTTCATCTTTAAGCCTTACATTTAACTCATATTAATCAATAATTACTGTGGGCGACAAGAGGAGCCCATAATTCTGATCTACAGGTTGAAATTACGTATGCATAGCACTTATGTAGCCAGCTTCCAACAGCTACGTTTGGACCTCCACTAAAAAAGAATGGAACACACAGAACTGGCAATCCGATCACATGTGTTTTGACTACCTATCACGTGAAACTTCCAAAAAGCACAAAATTGAAGAAAGACTTAGAGGGTGGTAACTTAGAATCGCTGTCGCCCACACTCATTGATAACTTAAGTTAAATGTATACCTAAAAGAATGCTTATTAAGATTTCTGTTTATTTTTAGGAATCAAGACTGCTGAGCAAGTGCAGCCAAGATGCTCTGAATCTTTGATATGCGCAATTCAATTGAGGTTGCTTTGACAATATTGGTCATTAGCGATTGGGCATTGGGTGTTTGAGCATACAGAAGAATTTGATGATTTGCTTGAGTGACCACCAAACAATAGCTTCCCAGTGCCCAATTACCAATGCCCAAAGCAACCTTTATTGAGTCAGTCATATAACAGTAAGATCAATGCACACATAATACTAAAGCTAACCTGACTCATTAAATTCACTTTCGAGTTCACTCAGCCTGTCTTTGATATCATCCTCCACTTTCTTCCACTGCTTTAGAAGTTCCCCGAAATGTTCTTCCTCCAGAGGGTCCATTTCCTGATCCCTTATTTCGTCAATGGCATCTCCATAATGGGCTCCTCCCAATCTCAACAAAGTGTCACCAATCTGCTGCCAGTAGTTACTGAACACAGCATCATTGATGAAGCCCTCTCCAGCATGTTTAGACACAGCATTCATGAAACACCTAACACGGGCAATGTCAGACTCACGACTGGTGTCTGCTGTGAGAGGAGGTGTGTCCCAGCCAGCGGGTGGAGGACTCAGATTACAGATTGTCCTTAAGAGCACTATCAAGAGGGGCATATCAAAGCTTGCAGATGTCACTTCAGAGGATGAAGGAGGATACAATTTACTCCACTGGAGTGAGTTTAACACCCCTCGCTTTCGAAGTAACAACAGTTTAGAGTGTGCTTGATGTTTCAAACACCTTTGAAGACTCTGTGGTGGAATTATTTTGTCAAAGGTTGCCCTGAGTGCCTTTGAACCCAAGATGATTAGAAGATGACATAAATGGGGATAATTTAATCCCTCATTAGTGCAAGCAGAGTGAGTTGATTCAGGATCTATAAGGCAGAATGACAAAAATTCATTAATCAAAATTTACACTTTTTATGGTTGCTATAAGTAATTAACCGTTGCCAAATTCTACAAGCTTTTTAACAACAGGGTTTGTGCAGACTTATTCCAAAACAATACTTTACTTTTCCAGATAATTTCAAGGTGAACAAAATTAATAGGTGATCACTTAAAGACCTTGAAAAACACCGGATCCAAGCTTTTTTCATGATGCACTGAAAACATATGGTAAACAAGGTGCAATGTGGACATTCTGTGATTAAATGTCTTCAGTACAGGGGAGATTGAATGGAAATTGACCACAGGGAAAAAATCACTTATTAAGCAATTGTTGTATAGCTATGAGAAAAAGGTCCAGAGTTTTTACTATTTTTCCAGAGACTTTTTTTCTATTTTTCAAGACCTTTTCCAGGTGTTACGGGTTATGCGTTCAATTGACAACCCTGCAAATGGCAACTGGAATTAAGGCTTTTACCTCTTAACAATCATGCCATGACACTGCCATGGGTCTACCATAATATTTAGTATTACTAGGTGTCTAACCCTTATAGAGACAATTTGTTGGGTAAAACCACTGCCCACTCCTGATTGCTGTCTGTCACCCAAAAAACCACTTTCAACCAAGCTCTCAAATGTATGATGGAAAATATTTTTTTGCAGAAAAAAAAGAAAAATAAACAAATAAATAATAAAATGATAACAATAAGAATAAATTTAATAGAATTCAATTCATTTTTTAAATAATAATAATATTTATTACTTGACATTGTGCAAATTAATAAAGTAATACATGATTAAAATAATATACATGATCAAATTGACATTCATACCGTGAACCCAACTGATCATCTTCTCCGTAAGATCTTTAATCTGTTTTGCCCAGTTGTACTTTTTGTCGAAGGAATCACGCAACATTTTCGCTTCCTCCAGTCGACTTTTCCTGTCCTTGGCCCAGATTTTCTTAATAGCTGAGGTCCAATCAGCAGGTTCATTTGAGTTAACAACATATGTTGAACCAAAAGGTACACTGCACAAAACTTCTCCAAAACCAGAGTTGCCACTGACAAGCACAGGCAGACCAGCTGACAGGGCCTCAAGTCCTGTTAATCCAAAGCCTTCTGTTCTTGAAGGCATGATTACAAGATCCACTTCTTGGAACAAGTCCTTCAAACTCTCTCGCTCTTTAACAAATCCTCTTACTCTCAAGCGCCTTTCAGGAACACCACATTCAGTCAACCGGTTTGCTATTTCTTCGTGTTTTCCATCTGGGGCTCCAACAAACACAAGACGAGTATCTTCTAATGCAGAAATCGCTTTTCCTGCAATGTCAAACCCTTTTAATTCAAAATCTTCTACGTCTCCCCAGCCAAACACTAAGACACTACGTTGTTTGCGTTCACTGGGAACCTGCTTCAAGGCTGCAAACTCTTCAAATACTCCAGGAGTGAAGTCAAGAACAGTGTCATCTTTTCTACAGCTACGTAGATATGAACGGAAGGCCTCACTCAACTTGGGTCCAACTCCTACAACATGATCCGCCATTTTACACAGTTCTACTTCAGTCTTGTGCTTTTCTTCGCCCTTTGAAATTGGGTTGGAATAGTTTTTAAACATCCCAAGTTCTTCAGCGTCTGTGTGCACCACTTGAAGCCATTTGCACTTTTTAGATTTTTTTATGATTTGTGCTTGTTTACCAAGTTTAACTCCATGGCCCACAATAATATCAATTTGCAGATGATCTGGAGGGAAGCTAAGCCACTCCAGTTGTTCAAAGCCAGGTAGTGGTGCTGCCTCCACGATCTTCACATTGTTTTGTAAGGCAACCTTCTTGCCCTCTTGACTGCATTGTGGTAAAAAGAAAGTGATTTCCACTTCAGGGCATTTGGCTAACTGAATGGCTAATTCTCTGTTTATGGTAGAAAGCCCCCCTTTGCTTGATCCCCATTCAGAAGCCAATATGGTGACTTTCACTTTGTGAGAGCCGCACACTCGGTCATCACTCATGCCTGTTTAAACTCTTTGTACAGAAGATGCCATTACCAAATATCAAAGTTGCCAAACATCTACAAAATGATACATAAAAACAGAGAACAATATATTATGATGAACATTTTCAAAACTTCTATACTACCTAACTTCCAAAATTCCAGCTAGGGTTCTTTTCAGAACACCAAATGGCTGCTGAATTAATGGCGAATGACTCTGAAGTTTATAGTGACTATAGAGTGTCATAGTTTGCATGCAGTCTCTTATATGTGCGCATGTAGACTAGCATGCTCTACACGGCTTGCTCGCTGAAATAAAAGCTTGTAGTGTTTCCTGTGCTGAGTCTTCTTGAATGTGACAATATCCTGATCTGAAACCACAACTGAGTGAATCAGGTTCTGTTTAAGGTCATTATATACTGAGCAACCTGACCTGAAAATTGATTCACTCAGTTTCCTTACCCTAATCACTAAACTTCAGAGTCATTCGAATGCCATTTGTTCCTGGCACCAAAATTCCTAACTTGATATTACCACACTTCCATCAGGATAATTTTGTCAGAAAGTTTTGAAGTAGAAGGCTGAGTTGTCAAAGTAAGCGGCCAGTCCAGGGATATCTTATTTAAAAAATGCCATATGTAAAGAACTGCCAAGCAAAGTAACCAGCCGATACTAACCAAATAAGTGGCGATTTTTGCCAGCAGCCGGCTACTTTTGACAACCCTGTTCCATACTACCAAACTTCCAAACATTAACACTTCTTCCACACTTTTGTGACCCACACTCTGGCACTTACAAGTAAGAACATACATTATGCTAATAGATGTAATAATCATGAGTCAGTGCCCATGGTTACTTGGAATAAACTTTCCTTTTGGATGAAATTTATCAGAGGCCAAATGAGACAGCTACATGTATGCGCGTGTCTTGCAAATGAATCCACCCTCTGACTAAAGGATAATTAAATAGAAAATGGTGGTAATTTACATGCAAATTTCATGCTTTGTGAATACAAATAGATTCATTCCAAGCATTAATTACATAAAAAATCTACTCATAGTCATGATCTCACATTTAGCACTTTTATCACAGACTTATGAATACGTATAAGTTGTTCAAAAACAGAACACGTTCTATAAATGCCCATGGCAAGCAGCATTTCAAGCAGACTGTCTGGAGTATACTACTAATAATAAATAGACTTAATTAATGTGTCAAATGCCTAGCTTACACGGAGTATAAACTAATTGTGGACACCTATAACTACCTAAAAACGAAAATCAAACAACTAAAATAAACAAACTCGGAAAGCTTACGACTGATCTAAGCGCTCTTTCTTGGAGACTCTCAATCTTCCGGCCATCAGATTTTCTACAAAAGTGCCATACCGTCTCTAAGGGACTGCTCGCAGTCTAACAATAAGTTATTTGTGGCAAAATCAAAGATTTGTAAATTCTAACCTTTGCTCATGTTGGTATTACATTTTTCAGTCTCATCATTACCCCTATTTTCCTAGATACTCTTTTAGATAGCTCCTTCAAGTGGCTAGTAAACTTCAGATGCTCATCAAAAGTGACACCCAACAGCTTCTTTCTACATATTTGTCAAGGACTTTGATTTCCATTCCTTCGTTTATGTACCTCATTTGTAAGGATTACAAACTTACCAAGAGTTTTCGTTCGTTCATATCGTGAACTTGAGATTACAAAGGTAACACCAACGCATAAAAGACGTAATTTTTTTCGTGTAGAGCTATTAACAGGGAACAACACTAGTTCTGTACTCGACACACCTCAGAACACCGAATCAGAAACTAAAAGCGGAAGACGCTCTTCACAGTTCAGTGACCGACATATTTGGAAAACTATTACCCACACTGAACTGCGGGCAGTATCACGCGATCTCTGTTTGGTCACGCACGTCGGTACCCCAACATTCACTGCGGTCAAACAAGGCCAGAGCAACCTCGTCCCCAGGGCGCTTTTCCATTGCTCCAAAGTCAGGGAAAAGCGCTCTGGGGACGAGGTTGGAGGCGAGAGTTGTCTGTAGCAACAAAAATATAAATGTAAATGCCAAATAAGGCTAAAAGACGGAAAAACACGAATCTTAGCGTTTTGGTAAATGATTCACAGTTGAAAGGCTTGTAACCCTCCGTGCTGATCCACGTCCCTGGTGTCATTAGTTGTAAGGTGGGCGGCGCTGGAAGAAAAAGTTCTACCAAACAGTCATTCAACAGGCCAGAGAAGAACGCAAACATACTAAAAAAAAAAACGTTACGTTAACCAGAAAATTTTAATGAAACTCTTGCCCATGACTCATCCGTCCTCCTTAAAAATATTTTTATTATGCTCGGGGTTTTCGTGGAAACCTTCTCCACCTCATCGAAATGAAGCTGAATACGTATCCAATAACGGAAACTCGAACTTCGAAAGCTTTAATTAAGAATCAGGTGACAGAGGGAAACGTATTCCTCGTCTTTTAAGTTTTTTTCCTGTTTGAGACATATTTTGCTTTTTTTGGACAGCTTGTGGGCAGAAACAGCCTCAAGAGTTCCAGAGGCAATTGGGTTTTTACAAAAACTTCTATTGCACAAGGATACTAGATTCCGGCGGCTTTTCTTTCAAGACCATAAATGTATCTTCTAATTTTCAACAAGAGATAGAAATATGCATTAAATAGACCATGATTTACAACTTATTGTCGAGTATGGATTGCGGTTTCAAAACGGCGTGATATCAACCTCGTTCCCAGGATTCTACTCCTACCCAAATAGCGGATACAGTCAAAACATAACCAACCAAGAGGTAACCAACACTAAGGTGTAACCAAAGATACTCTTACAAAGCACTCGTATTTAAGCCTAAGCTAGCGAAGCGATACAGATTACATAATAAGTCAACGAGTCAAATTACAGAACACAAGACTATTGGTGGAAACCTAAGGTTATTTTGAAACATAAATTCCTTCCAAAAACTACACCGGAGGATAAATGCTTCTTACAGGTTGATTATACAGCTTGAAGGCTAAATACAGTTATGACTTGACAAATAAGTTTACGCTCAATAAATATTAACAGGTTTTATACGGTTGGAAAAACTAAGACTAAAGAATAAAGGATTTCTGCAACCTCGTCCCCAGGGCTTTTCCCTTAAAAAATGGGTGGGGCGGGAAAAGGCCCTGGCATCGGCTGGTCACGTGCACAGCCTAAATATTCCTAAAAAGCTAATTTATATGCAACCCGCTGGTTTTGCGCTGGCAGAAGTCGAACGACGCAACAATGGAAAATAATAATATCGCGAACTGTATGTCAATATTTTCGCGTCTGTGCGATTCAAAAGCTTAAGATCCATTTAATTGCGTATTATTCAAAGGCTACAAGTTTATGAAAGGGCGTACCGGCTCTACGTTGTCACGTACAAAATATGTCAAATGCTTCAGAGTTGAGACATGCTGTTATCGAGTCGGTACTTCGACTGAAATTCATCGTGACTGTGGAATTACTGTACGATCATCAAGCGGAAAGTGATTTTGTCCAATGTCAAACAAAAATGCGGGCCTTTGCCTCCAGGATCTGAAGTGAATTTAAACAAATTGAACTTAATTGAAATAGAATTGTTCATCAAAATGCTTTATGGAGTCTGGTCTTCTCTACAACCCGACCATGAAACAAACAAATCTCCGCGCCGGATGCAAGTCAGCCCTCCAGCCAGGAACGATGACAGGTCGCCGATCTGAAACATTTGAAGATCTCTTATATCTTTTCTCTTCCGAGGATAAGTATAAAGGATTTTTCTTATATTCGATTGGGATCAACTACAGCTATGTCAATTTTAAATGGACCCAAGTCTTTCTTTGTTACCAGTCGTTTGATACCCTGGTTGCTAGAGACTTTTCATGCGCGGTTTCCGGTTTCGGTTAAGTCTCGCAGAGGTCAATGAATTTTTGAAAAATACAGGTCATACAAGATAAGTCTAAACCAACGCGTATCGCTATGATGATATGGCTGAGAGTTAAGGTGAATGGAACTAGGTTGTGTACGGCGGTCCACTTCGCAAGAAATAAAATAAAATATCAAAAGAGTCGCGAAAGCGAACTTTTCCAGTGCAAACTTTATGCATGTACGATAGCTTGTTTGTCATTTATATCGCTCTATAAAGGAAGTTTTACAAATGTTACCGCTCGCTGTCCCCTTCATAGAAATCGGAGGAAAGCAAAAAATTACCATAGCCAGTATCTGTGACAAAAAGGAAACCTTGTAAGACTTTTCGTTAATCGTCAAGAGATGTAAAAGGCCGCCCAAGATCGCGCGCTGTGAGGTTACGCATAATTTTAGCTTTTCACATAGCGCTAATTTATTACACCCAGGCCCAGGTTGTTCAAAAGCTGGATAGCGCTATCCACCGGATAAATCACTATCCAGCGGATACGTATTACGGGAAACAATTGCCTTATCCGCTGGATAGTGATTTATCCGCTAGATAGCGCTATCCAACGTTTGAACAACCGGGGCCAGGATTTTAGGGTGTACGAGGGGACACGTGACCAGCTGATGCCAGGGCCTTTTCCCGCCCCACCCATTTTTTAAGGGAAAAGCCCTGGGGACGAGGTTGGGATTTCTGCATTGGCTTTTCATATTCAGCATATTTTTATCAGCGAAAGCAAAATAACTTAATAACAATAAATCCTCTCTTCACAGTTGTAAGTACGCGAGATCATAGTCAACTTCGTTTAAACGTTTTATCTTTTAAAAATCTTATTATCGCCAGTCCTGTTTTCATGAGCAGGACCAGCATTTTTGGTATTCTTAATTTACCGGGGATACCGTAAAATTCCAAAAATAAGCCCCTGGGCTTATATTTTTAAATGGCCCTTTTTGAGGGGCTTATTTTTGGAGGGCCTTATATTCGGAGGGGCTTATCTATGGGGGAAATTTCCGTTTACAAATCGATTGGGCTAGCCTTATAGTTCGAAGTAAATTTACCGCTTTTGCTTTGTTTTATTTTGTATCTGAGGGCAATT